TTTTATAAATTTTGTGGAGAATACTATTTCCACAATAATCTTTAAAATCTAGCACCTTCTTCGTTCTTTAAGTCGAATATGTTTTAAGATGTTAGGAAAAATACAAAAAAAGAAGTTAGAAATACTGCTGAAATTGTATAAATAAAATAATAGAATGAAACATTACAATAAATAGAGTAACAAAAAAACTAGAGAAAATTGTTTTTGAGGTAGTAGTGGTATTGAAAGGAACCAAAATCTGTGTTGCACACAACTTCTTTAAAATAAATTCGTCCCCCACTGTGGTGTAGAGAACCGGTGTTGTTTGTTTCCTGGAATACAATGGTTGAAGGTAGCTGATTAGCATCTCGTCACCTCTTTAGGCGAACTAAGAATGCTTACAACTATATCTCCTAACTAGAACAAAAAACTAAATTATCTAAGTTACTAAAAACTAAACTCTTGAAATAAAGAGAGAAGAGATACTTCGAGTAAAGAAAGAACTCTCAAATTTTTTGGTATGTAGAATAAGGAGGAAAACACCTTCTTATATAGTACTAGGATGAGAGATATTTCAAATTCTTAGTTAATTTTGTGTTTAACACAAATAATGTTATAATAACTATGAATGAATTTGTAACCACAAATTGATTATGGAATTAAACCAATTCAAATACAAATTAACTATAGAATTGACTAGACTTGAAACCTCTAAATTGTTGTTACAATTTTATTGAACCTAAATATATTGCTTTAATATATTAATTCAATATATTATTTTCCAACATTACTGACTACATACACATTGATATTTACGAGGATAGATTTGTATGTCTAGTCTCTTAATGAAAGCGTAAGAGTGCTATATTTACGTGTACTTGACTATCTTGGTTCTTGATATATTATAGGTGAGTTTACTGACTAAAAATGGTAACAACAACAATGATCTGAGACTGCCAATTGATGGCAACTTTCTAACCCAGGTACCTCTTAAAGCTTTATCATTTTTGTTGGATTTTCCTATCTCTTTACTTAATCAAATCAATAGTATAAATTGCCTTTCTCGTTGAGAAGAAATGTCCACCAACATGTTCTTCACAAATATTTGAAGAAAACATTTTGTGATATATATGCCATGGATGGGACAAGATTGCAGGTTGTATATCAATCGGTGTGTAAATCGTATTGGTTGATGTGTTTCCGTGCTTTACACATTCACATATTAAGTGCCTGTTTGACACCCGTTTTTTGGAAAAAACTCATTTTACTACAGTGCAAATTCTACACACGCCACCACAGTCAACTTTATTGTGTCAGAGTACAAATTCTGTTGATGGGAAATAATATTACCGTTGCATTATTATTCCGGTTTTGCCCTACAATTTTCATCATGGTGATTTTCACGTGCCGGCAATTTTGAAGGGCATTTGTGGGAAGAAAAATGATGGTCATTACTTTCTGTCATGTCAGTAAGGAAGAAAGACACCCTGTCAGATGAAAATTTAATTTTCAATGTACCTGGGGCCCACACATTATGCAAGTTTCTGTTCAAAAATGGTAGAAAAACGGGTGTCAAACAGGCACNATTTAATTTTCAATGTACCCGGGGCCCACACATTATGCAAGTTTCTGTTCAAAAATGGTAGAAAAACGGGTGTCAAACAGGCACTAAAATGGATAATGCTAGAAATATATCACCATCTACATAATGGTGTACATAATGCTAATGTGTCAATCATCCAGTCATTGATGTGTCAGCGTCAAATTTGAATTAAAGGTCGGACGATTGCCACATTAGCATTATGTACACCATTATGCAGATGGTGATGTACTTCTAGCATTATCCAAAAAGTTACTAGAAATCTGATTTTTATATAAATCAAACCGAGGTTATATTCCACAAGTCCCAATTATTCTGAACCTTTTCTGAAATATGGATCGGGTTGCTATCTTCAGAAATTAGGCCACTAAGCCCAATACTCCCTGCCCGCGAATAATTGATACGAGACAAGTGAACTAAAGGGTAAAAGTCAACTTGAGAACAATGATCTCTTCTTGCAAATCATAGAAATAGTTGTCATGTTTGATCAAATAATGCAGGGGCACATTCAGCATGCTCTAGCACATGAAATTCAGTACGCATTCCTTGATCATAAAATTTTAAAAGAATTGATACAGATGTTGGCAGGTGAGGCAAGAAGTTCAATTTTTAAGAAAGTTAATCAGGTGAAATATTTTCATTGATACTTGATTGTACTTCAGATGTGAGTCACAAGAAGCAAATGTCTCTAATAATACAATTTGTGGATGATTCAGCAAACTCAATAATGATAGAAGAATATTGGGTTGAAATTTTTAAGCTAGATGACAAATCATGACTTCGACTTTTAACAGAGCTTAAAAATATTTTAATCAATTTTAAGCTTGATGATATCATAGGACAAGTTTATGAAAACAGATCTAACGTGATCTTGGAGGCACGAAGATATGCAAAGAATATTACTTGAAATGAATTTTAGAGCTTTCTGTGCTCCATGTGGTTGTTATTGTCTTATCTGACACGATAAATTGTTGTCCTTCGGAGTGATACAATACATCAACACATTGTTCTCTGCTTTCTCAAGTGATGGAAATTTTCAAAGATGAGGTGGAAGGTTTGACACTGAAATCGTTATAACACATACGTCGAGAAAGTAATGTCGAAAGTGTCAAATATATAAAAGAGTAAACTTCACAAATAAGTGACGTTTTACTTGACTTGGTAGACATTAGTGAAGATTATAAAACAAAGAGTAAAGTTGATTTCTTAACAACATGTGAATTTGATAATTTTGAGTTATTTATTATCATAATAATCTGGTATAGATTGTTGTATACGATCAATACTATGAGTGAATTTCTTCCGGTCGGAATGATTGCACTATCAACCTCCTAGAAGCACTTGCTTCTTTTATCGATGATTATAGAAATACTAGTTTGCTAATGCTATGTATTGTTCAAAACAAATGACAAGTGAAATGGAAATTGAAGTTGTACTCCGAGGAAACATACCATTCAAAGAAAGAAGCAGTTTGATAAAAGTGGTAGCGACTAGTTAAATCAATCAGCTGAAATTTGTTAGAGTTGATTATTTCCCTTTTTATAATTGATCGAGCTTGATTTGAACAATTTAAACGATATAAAGAGAACTTTGGGCACTGGTTTAATTTGCAGAGGTTACAATATTCGTCTGTTGCTTTTTGTTAAAGTCTTGTGAGAATCTTGAGCAATATTTAAAACATAACGGTCTTTTAGATATGAATGAAAATGATTTATATTTGAAGTTGACAGTTTTGATGCGTTATTTACCGAATGAAACAAAGAGAGTTGTTGATTTCCTCGAATATTTGAAGAAAAATGATGATTGTTTTCCAAATGCTTATAAAATTTTGCCAACCCTACCGATTATAGTTGCATTTGTAGAAAGAAATTTCTTCAAGTTGAAGTTGATAAAGATGTTTCTCCGATGAACTGGCACATTAAAAATTGAGTGGATTGACTATGTCATTAATTGAGAATTAAATGGTTGAACAATCTTAGAGGGTGTTTGGTAGAGATTAAAATCGGATTAAAATTGAAAAATTAGCCGTTATTGTTGACTTTTATTAGATGAGTGAGACCCAATAACGGCTATATTTTTAATTTTAATTGGATTTTGAGCCGTACCAAACAGGCCCTTATTATTCAAATTTGAATAATATTTTGCCTGTAAAACTGCAAGACGAGTAATATTTAAGTGACCGCTTTGAACATTTTCGGTATTTGATTATAATATAAATATTTTGTATGATATATTTTATGTTGGTTGAGTTCTAAGTTAACAGATGGTTCCATAAAACTCTTATAAATAATTTTTTTTTTAATGAACCTATGTTTTGAAGGTCCATTAGGGGACCCAATTTATAAAGTTTGCCTCAAGCTCCGTCGTCATAGTACGACTTTGAACTCCAGCATAGACTCGTCATAAATAAACTAGGTGAATTCATATGATTCACTAAGTTCAACTAATATTGTGTTGACAAGGCAATATTTATACTGTAATATATGATTTAAACATTTAGAAGTCAATATAAACATATGTAACCAATTTAGTTGGTACATACAATTTGAAGGCCCATACTAGGGCCTAATTTATAAAATTTGCCTCAAACTCCATAAATAATACGTACGAACCTTAACGTCAAAATAGACTCATCACAAATAGATTAGATGAATTCATATTACTTTCTAAGTTCAACTAATATTGTGATGACAAGACATACTACAATAAATGATTTAATCTTTCGGAAGTCAATCCAAACATTTATAACCAAAACAAAACGTCTTAAAACAAAATATAACATTCAAGTCATTAACTCTCTAGACAACTTGAAATGATTATAAACATGAAAACAAGACATTTAAAATATCAATCATTTCGACCTTTTCTTTTGCCTTTTTGTTGTGATAATTCTCAACTAGGTGAAATAAACTAGTATTTCTATTGTCGTTAGTTAATAGAAAATCCATGAAGATTTATTCCTTTTAGTTCAACAGAATTTAATTTTCGAAAAGATTACACGCTGCCGATATAAGTTTCACCCGAACCCTTTACCCGTTGGGCCGGTCCAGACGTATGGCCCAGCCCATATTGAAGCCCTCAATCATATCAAAACGACGACGTCGATACCCCTTTTAAAAGAAAAGTTCTGAAAATTTTTATCCAGTCAAAATCTATACGTTAACACGTGTCAAATCTGCAGCCAGTTCCCCAGAAAATATCCCTGTTTAGAATTTCGTCAAAATTTCTCACAGAAATGAATAAATAGCAGTGTAAAAATCTTCTTCCCCTACGTTGAACTCAACCTTCAAAAAATCTTCCCTTCTAAATCACTCTCATTCACACACAAAGTGTCTGAATTATTGTGTGAAAAATAAGTACTTATTTTACTGAAAAGTGCTTTTTTTTTATTCATAATTGGTTAGTTTCTTGCTCTCACGCTATGAGCGCGAGAGCTTTGCTTATCTCCTTTTACTCAGCTCCAAAACACCAGTTTTCGTCAAGAAGAACACTTGGCTCGGATTTTACCATCAAATCTAAACTTGGGTCACGATCATTTTCAAGTGAAAAAACCATTTTTCACCTAATCAGGATTTCGAGTAGTTCCAGGAATGATTTGGTTAGAAGGAAGAGTGGGAAAGTGTGGGCAGACGTCAAGTCGGAGCGGTACGATGTCGTTGAATCTACGCCGGAGTCTGTGAAGTTGGAGGATGCGTTAAGTGACGTCGTTTTGAGGAATGAGGATTGTAATGACATCAGTGCACTGCCATGGTGGAAACAGTTCCCAAAGCGTTGGGTTATTGTGATTCTGTGCTTCTCTGCTTTCCTACTCTGCAATATGGATAGAGTAAGCATAAAGACTTCCTTATCGATATGGATGTTAATTGAGATCTTTAGTTTTGTAATATTCACGTTTTTACGTTTTATGAGTGGCTATAAACACTGGTGCGCGAGTTTGTATCCTTGTCCAACCAACTCAACAAATTAACGTCAAGAAAATTTGTCTGCTATATATGAAAGAGCAATAGATTTTGTGACGGAATTTGTCTGATCAGATTGAAATGAAATTGAAATTGAAATTGAAATTTAGTGATGAGTTTGAGACCTTCCCTTATTATATGAAGTCGAATGATTATTGCTTTATTTAGATTTTCTATTTATGATCATTAGGTTAATGGAAAATAAAGTTTTCTGGTCCTTTATGAAGAGTGTTTATTGGCAGAAACAGATGAAACACATAATTGGTAACTTTTTGGTTAATTTGGTCAAGTTGACAGATACATGTGATTGAATGAAGAACATTTGGATGAACGTTTCTTGCAAGCGGTCATCTTCGCTGTAAAAGATTATTATTTCAATGTGTTAGGTCTCCCTCAAACCGCTTAAAGTGAGTTCACTTGGATCATAGCATGAGTCTAGTTTGTTAGTTGTTCATCGTCTTTATGAAAGTGTCAGTGAAAAATGTTAGCGCATATGTGAGCCTGAGTTGATAAGTGACTTGGAAAGCTTTCGGGAATTCAGGAACTGGCTTTATATTGTGTATTGATCATTTGGTGTCTCCACTTTATTCCTGTTACGGTTGGAAATTTCATAACGGTAGATCACTGTTTCCAATTCCTTGCATAGTAAATTCCTCTTCCCTTTATATTTAAAAATTTTAAAAAACTAAATAAAAAATGATTTTTTTTTTTTTCATTTTATTAGCATGCCAATTGTCAGTTCTTAAAGCAGATATCATTCTGCAGGTAAACATGAGCATTGCTATACTTCCAATGTCATCAGAGTTCCATTGGAGTCCAACAACTGTTGGTTTCATACAATCTTCCTTTTTCTGGGGTTACCTTCTCACTCAGGTAATGTAAAAACTTATCTGTTTAATGACCAATCGAGGCACATTCATATGCATTGTATGCTTCATGTCCATGACATTAAGATATAAGAAAGAATTCATGGATGTTCAATTTGGGACATTATATTATTTTTTTATTTCTTTAATTTCATTTTAATAAAATTAAATGAAATGCAAATCCTTATGTTATTCTGGGGATTATGCAGTTGGCTTCTTATTCTAATTTTATTTATTGCATGATGCTCAGATTGCAGGAGGAATATGGGCAGATACTGTTGGTGGGAAGTTTGTTTTAGCATTTGGTGTAGTTTGGTGGTCAATAGCTACAGCTCTAACACCAATTGCTGCAAAACTTGGTTTGCCTTTCTTGCTTGTGGTCCGTGCTTTCATGGGGATTGGTGAGGTCGGTACCTCATTTAATAAATTTGACCCGCTTGCTTTTCTATTTGTTATACAGTAGTCGTGATGTTGTATTGGGCCTGTAGTTTTCGGTAATGGATAAGTTTTTAATGTCTAATAGTGATTTGTTGTTCTCATCCCAGTCCACCAGTTATTGTCATTTGATTTATTTTGTTTTCTGTGGGAGTAAGCTATATCTCTCTGTTAAAGGGTGTTGCCATGCCTGCCATGAACAATATACTGTCAAAATGGGTTCCAGTGGCAGAGAGAAGTAGGTCATTGGCATTTGTTTACAGTGGAATGTATCTTGGATCTGTAACTGGTCTAGCATTTTCACCAATGTTGATCCATAATTTGGGTTGGCCATCTGTCTTTTATTCATTTGGCTCACTAGGGACCGTATGGTTTGCTTTGTGGATTACTAAGGTGAATTTTCTGAACTAGTATTAACCTTTATTTTGAATGATGCACGAGTTTTATTATATGATTCTCATTTCTCCCCCAGATGAGTAACAATTGAGTAGTACCTAATGTAGGCGCACAGTTCACCTCTTGATGACCCTGAATTACTGCCTGAAGAAAAGAAGCTGATTCTTGGCAACAGCGTATCGAAGGAACCAGTTAAATCTATACCTTGGAAATTAATTTTGTCAAAACCACCTGTATGGGCCTTGATAGTGTCCCATTTCTGTCACAACTGGGGAACATTTATTCTTCTTACATGGATGCCTACGTACTATCACCAGGTATTTTTTGATTTCTTTACACCGTGTGGACGACTTTAGCAAGGAATTGGCATATATAGTGCAGATTGGATACCATCATTTTCTAGTACTTTTCGTACTTCGATCAACTTATCTTTCTAGTAATATCGGAGTGGCTTAAAGAGAATTATGGATTATCTTTTATAAAACTATAGTGACTTATTCTGTAAAGGACATAATCAAAATTTTATAAATGATTGAATGAAAATTTTGGGTTATTGATTTTGCTGCAGGTGTTGAAATTCAATCTTACTGAATCTGGACTTTTTGCTGTCTTTCCGTGGCTTACAATGGCCTTTTCTGCAAATCTTGGGGGCTGGATTGCAGATACTCTTGTGAGCAAAGGTGTATCTGTGACCAATGTTAGGAAGGTATGCAGTATCCCCCATTGTTATCATTGTACTCTTGACCTTTTTACGTGCTCCTGAAAGCTTTATATTTGTCTTGGGTTAATGTGAACTTCCCTGAGGCGTGTGCAATCCTTATTTTCTTTGTTAGAGAAATATAGAAGCCATTGTTGATGATCTTTTGTTTCGCTCATTTAGACTTCATGGGTTACTTTTCCGGATGACTGATGAGCTCTCCTGAGTTGTTGTTTTCTTTTTTTTCCTCCTGTCGTGAAGTTCTGCAATATACTCTTTTTCCAACTGGTAGATCTGCCCATATGCAGTTGGTCTCTTAAACTGTTTATTCGAAGCTCCTTTCAAGTTTCCTGTCCCAAATCAAGATACTCTTGAGTCTTGCATCCTATTGGGGAATGCAGTTAGGTTAACTGTATTTTATCGTGCTTTGCAGATCATGCAGACAATTGGATTTCTTGGCCCTGCTTTCTTCTTAACTCAGTTGAGCCACGTGAATTCTCCTGCTATGGCAGTTTTGTGCATGGCATGCAGTCAGGTTTGTTCTAACTACTATGAGCTTTGGGGATGAAATTCTCTATAGAAAACAGTACACATATCAAAGTAATTTGTGGAACCACTTGATCTAAAAGCTTAGCTGTTAGAGATGACTACATATATATCATTTAAATTGTCTTCAACCCCACCCACATACCCACCATCCAAAAAAGTGTACGTGGGTTCATTTTTTTCCCCCATAAAATGGATGACGGCGAGGCTTGAACCTAGGACCTTCTCGTGCTCTGCTACCATGTGGCTCACTTGATCCAAAATGTTAAGAGAGTGGCACATATATTTCCAAATTTTATCTTCAGCAATTTATGCTACAAATTAATGAAATCTCTTTTATTTTAAAGCTTTTTATTTCGGAATGATTGCATAGCATCAAGCATGTAGTATATTCTTTTTATAAAGAAGCTGGTGTAGTGGGTTTTGTCGGTGTCCAGAACAAATTCTACTCTTATTGCGCACTCATGTTCTCTGTGAATGTAGCTTCTTGTGCCTTTTATTCGATTCTTCTGATTTTCTATGGATTCATTCTCATGGCAGGGAACTGATGCTTTTTCACAGTCAGGTTTATATTCAAACCATCAGGATATTGCTCCACGATATTCAGTAAGTACTTCACTTTTTCTTCGCCAAGTACAGTCAATGCCTAGAGCTATTAAAATAATGCTATCAATCAACCAACCTATTAGCAGAGGCACAAATGATCCTAAACACATTGTGCCGGATATAGTAAAAAAACATCCAGGCGTCAGTTTTTCCTTTTGTATCATGATGACATGGTAGTTGTTTTTGTGGGCATTGCTAATTTTCTTTTCTCATTATAAGCGGATAATCGATTGCATAATTTCCTACAAAATCATTTACAGGGTGTATTGCTTGGTCTGTCTAATACTGCTGGAGTGCTGGCTGGGGTTTTTGGTACTGCTGCTACTGGTTATATATTGCAGCATGGTAAATTCTCATCCCTCATATTTTAAAGCCGAGATAAATCCATTATATGAAATTTCTGAGCTTGATTTAAAATTCAAACTGCCTGTTCAGAAATAATGTGAGTAGTTCATCGAGTCTTTACGAGGTTGCAAAATAGCCCATCTACATTATGTAAATGGAAAAATCAGAGTCAGATAGTTTTGACTTTGCTGGCTCCTCATCTTTGAGTTCTATCAAAACCGGACCATACCTGCCAGTTTGACCCCCGAAAAAGGGGGAATCAGATGTAAAACCTGCCTGCTTATAGGAAAAAAACCATATAGATGAAAACCAGTACAAAGTCTAGTAAACTGAATGAATCAGGCATGGGTTGAACAGTTGGTTTTTTGAAAAAAAATAAAAATTAAAGGTTAGTCTTATAAATCAGCATATACATGTACATATTATGAAAAACAAATATACATGTACATATCACTGTGAAACACCCCAAATCCACAATAACACTATAACAATTAAACTCAGATCAGATGCGTATAAGCTATAAATATATGAGTGTGTGTGTGTGATGAAGACAACCTTCATCTTCCAAACACAGAGGAGGCAGTGAAAATGGTGGTTAGTCTTGGATGTGAAAGAAAGCGGCTGCTTGGTTGTGATGTACTGATATTATTCTTGTCGTCTGACATGGCATGAATCACTGAACCTGCACTCAGGAATAGTAGTGCTTTGAATGAAAATGAAAATTTACATATGAAGGGTTTAGTCTTTCAGTTTCTTTCTAACTTTCTACTATGTAATGAGAATTGAAATAACAGTTAAAATAATGACTCTTCCAACACCCTCTTACACTATATAAATTTTCAATGTAATTTTTGACACCCAGTTCACAGTTCGGCCTTGGTTCAGTCGGGTTTAAAAACATGAGTTAGCTCATTATTTTTGCCTAGACTGATATACAGAATTTTGTAGATTCAAGCTTGGTAAATTTTGGTAGTAGGTTCATGCCAAACAGTTTAATGCTTTTTTATCAATTAATGAATGCTTTGGGTGGAACTCGTACCATATTTGTCATATCCATATTCATGGTCGGTTGAACACTTGAACTTGTTGAAGGCTACAGTATCGACAAAAGTCGGATTCAAGTAGTAAACATTAATTTAGCTACTAAAAGTCTGCACAAGCTATATGGTACATAGAACCAGCAAATTCATTCACCCCAATGGTGATGAAGATGCTGATGCAGGTGTATTATTTCTCAACAGAAGTAACTAAGAAACCTTTTGACTTTTCAGCCTCATCTCGCAGTCTGGGAAAAAAATGAAAAGCAGGCAAAATATAGAAAACTGAAATAACACGTGTTTGTTCTGATGAACTATCACTGGACTGGTTAACATGACTTTAAGATAAAGTAAGATGGTTTGGTTTCAGCGGGACGGAGTTTCGGAATTGATAACATAATGATTGCTTTACTCTAACATGCTTGTCTTGATGTCAAAGAATCATATATTTTGGTTAACAGTCTTGAAATATCTGGTTTCCAGGTTCTTGGGATGATGTCTTCAAGGTTTCAGTTGGTCTCTACTTAGCCGGCACTGTGATATGGAATCTCTTTTCGACTGGTGAGAAGATAATTGATTGAACCTCATAAAAGAAATACTATACTGCAACTCGAGACTCCAAACTTTGAAGAATGGAATGGAGAAACAATTGTCACTTAAAATCTGGTCCGAAATTGGAGCGCTTGTTTACACGTTTATTTCTCATAGAAACCGGTGAATCCGAGTTGATATCTTCTCATAATCCTGGAACGTCCGAATGAATGGAGCCTGTGCAGATGAAGAAAGTAAGAGGCGCATAGTTTTATGCACACGATGTTTGTACACTAACCTACCATTTTTTGTAAATTACTGTGGAAATATAGATCTTATTTAATTTTTAATTCTTGTAGTTCATTTACATGTACTGTTATTGATATCAAATACAGTCTATTGCATTTGGCGTGCCAAAAAAATCAAATTGCAAATCATGTGAAATTACTTTCTTCCCACTTAGTGTTTATACAGAGTGGTTTCCATGTATTAGAAGTTTAGAAGGGCTGTGCCTCGGTTCCGGGTAAAACACGGGCCTGCACTGTCCAATTGGGCCGGGCCGCAGAGCCTTTCTCTAGACGTGAGCTATCACTTGTCAACTGGCTAGTTGAACAACTGTTTCAAGCAGCACAGTATGGGCTGTGGTTGAGCCCACGGATTTACCCATCTTTACACCTCTAGATTTAGATTGAGATGTTAGACGGTTCAGTTGAACCAATGTTTTAGGCAGCACGGTGCAGGCTGCGTTTGGGCCTGGCATGACCCATGCTAGGTAGGGGTACTTACAAAAATACCCTTAAAATTAGGGATGTTTTGAAAAATTATATGAAAAGTTTTTAGTAAGTAAAAAATAGTGTAAAATGAAAAAGTGACACAATGTCATTGTTTTTACTTTTTTTAAAAAAACTCAAAAAATGACAAAACTAAAAAAAGTGACAAATACCAAAATAACATTATCCATTTGTGCAACACCAATAATCATGTTCGTAAAATAATCATCGCGTTTAGGCCAATCCACATGCTGATTATGTAAAAAAAGTGACAAGCATTGACAAAGATTAAAAAAGTGGCAAACATAAAAAAAATTGACAGAAATTCAAAAAAGTGACAAAACACCAATTAAAACATTAGAATGAGTTCAATAAAATAACAGAAAAAAGTGACATAATCAAAGCATGATCGGTGACATTTGTTGCATGATTGTGATTAAATGAAATAAATTCAATAAAGTGACAAAAAAAGTGAGATAATCAAAGCATGGTCAGGTGATATTAGTGCATAATTGTGATTTCATTCTTGTATTATCATATACAAATTTGTCGATTAGGGCTAACCCGTTTAAGGCTAATAATGCAAGGTAGAAACAAAACTTTTTATTAATGATAATGCAAGGCAGAAATAAGAGGTAATACTCATGAAAAAGGGACAAGATGATGCTCAAGAAGCAGTTGCTACACAATGGACCATAATAGTAACAATAAGGATACATATAATTAGAATTGCAATATAAAGTAGAGAACTTTTACATGGATATTCAGGAAAAGGACTGCATCTACAAGACGAAATGTCATGCCACGAAGCCACTAAATGTACATATAATGTGCTACAGCCATCAACAAAGTCATCAAATCGAAGAAAAACCCCAAATTTCGAATAAGGATGCCTTTCATTCGCATAATGAATCTACAATCATATCGTTTTAAAAAAAATATATAAAAGTAACAAATTAGAAAAACTACAGGTGCTAATATAACTAAGAATTCAAAATTATAGGCACCAGCGCCACAAAATCCTCACGGTTCGCGTAATATTTAAAGATTCATATGTACCAATCATTCTTTGCAAATGGATTGACTCTATACATATACAAACACATAAATATAGGCATAAAAATTTCAGAAAAATCAAAAATCTTCAAGAAACAAACATAATTGAAAGAAAATGTAACTCATAAAATAATTAAAAGTGCTCATGCTTTCTGTGTTTAGCTCCAACATTATGTGCTTTAGGTCCTCCTCCTCAAATTTAAACAGAGCACTTTCAAAATTTCACCAAATTCTGATCACGAGATTTTGTGATCTCCATTGGTATCAAATTTTTGGAATACCTTCTCCACAAATTTCTAAGGTTTTGGGGATTTTGAGTGTACTAATTATGGTGTAAGGATGTTAATCAATTTTAAGGGTATTATTCTAATTTATTATATTTGGAGGGTAGTAGACCTAATTTTCCCTTTTTTTTTTGTTCGTCTTAAAACAATAATTGAAAAGCAGCCCACAAACTTGAGTGGGTCCAAACACGAGCCAATTCGTCCACATAGCCCGATAACCCGATTGACAACTCTAAATGACATCACAAGTGATTTCAGGGTACATGGATTAAATTGCCTCATGAAAGTAATCAAATGTTTACATGTATAGATAAAACAACCAAAGAAAACATACATTTTGTGGAAAGTATGACAAAAGTGAATACAAATGAAATCTCCAAATATTACCAACTGTGAAAAACACATGAACACTTCCATTCTTCAACACACATGCTGTATTCCCAATTGCGCCTTTATACCATTTTAGTAAAAGACAGAAATACCCTTTCTATGCTGACATGGCAACTCTTGGTGGTGCAGTAAGATGACGTGGCACCAAGTAAACTTTGAGCCCATTCTTCATGAAAAGAGTCAAAGACATCTTCTGTTCAACAAGGTGACCGGGAACCAGTGATAGCCGGTAACGAAGAAGTACGGCCGAGACCACAGACTTCATCTGGAGGTAAGCCAGGTCCTTGCCCAAACAAGTTCTCGGTCCAGCATTGAACGCCACAAACTTGTAACCATCCTTGGGTGGTTCGAACCGGTCACCGTTGACCGAAAGCCATCTCTCTGGTTTGAATTCCATGCAATCCTCGCCCCATATATTCTTCATCCTCCCAACTGAATAAATTGAATATGTGACTGTTGAACCGGCCGGCAAGTATGATCCGTCCGGCAAAACATCGTCCGAGACGACATATTTGAAATCTTCCGGTACTGAGGGGTACAGACGTAGGGTTTCAGTCAACGCTGCCTTTAGATAAACCAGTCTATCAGCTTCATCGAATGTCAATGGTTCTTCAATCCATTTTTGTGTGTCTTTCCCACGGGTTTCTAGTAAAACTGTTGATAATTCATTGATGATCTTGTTCTCAACGCGCTCGTTGTTCATGACGAGCCAGAAGAACCAGCTTAATGCCACAGATGATGTGTCACGGCCAGCGAGAACAAAGTTGAGAGCAATGCGCTTGAGGACTGAATTTGGAAACAGATTTCCATTGATATCTCTCTTCTTGATGAATCGAGATAAGAGATCATCAGATGGAGTTTCTTTTCGTGCTTCAAGGGCTTCTGACATGTAATTTTCGATAACTTGTAGGCTCTTTTCCAGCCTTTTTTCAGCTCCAATGCTTACAAGTTTCTTCAACCTCCATAACAATCCAGGATAAAGTAATCTTTGAAGAGTTGCTTCGGTGGCTGAATCGAAAGCAATGGCAAATGGATTCTCGGGTAATTCAGGCGAAAGAGTTTCAGGATCTTTACCAAAAGTGAGTCCACATATGTTATCAAAGGTTAAACGAAGCAACAAATCTTGCATGTCCACAGAGGTGTGATCTTTGCAAGCCTTGTCTAATATGATCCACAGACGGGTTCGGATAGTTCGGTTCACCCACCGGGCCATGGCTTGTCGAAGCGTCCGAGTTGTGAACTCTAGAGCAGCAGTCTTTCTCTGTATCAGCCAAGTTTCACCATCACTATTGAATATGCCCTGCCCTAGAAGATCATGAAAGGCGGTTTGCCAGTCCGGTCCTTTTGGATAGTTCTCGAACCGGGTTCGGAGAATATGCTCGATATTTTTTGGGTGGCACGTGACAGTATAAAACCCTTGCTTCCTAGCGAAAAAAGGTATAGCAATGGTACATGTCTGATAAGTGGCGGCGCCACCAGTTGCGCAGAGGTTTCCGGCTATCCAGTCGTGGATTCGCCTCCTATTCATGAACAAATATGGGAGACTACCCACCAATGGCCAGGCCTTTGGACCAGTGAGTTTCTGTGCAAGAAGACAAAACCATATCAAATAAGCAGAAGTTGCAGCTATGAAGCTGAAAATGACAAGTTGAGTGTCCATGCATGCAGCAGTAAGTGCAAATTAAGATAATCAAAAGCAAAAATAAGTAGAAAAATTGCTGTTTTGGTAGTGATCGATTGGAACTGGTGAGGAAAATGGTGTAATATATAAGAGCAATGTCAAGAGAAAAATATTAGGAGAGAGTTGTTGAGAAAATTATGCAGTGGAGAAAGAGGGGGTAGCGGTTTGGTATGATATATAGAAAATTGAATTGGGATTTCATATTTCATACGAAAGCCATGCATCACCAGTATAAGCTGGGATAATAATACGACGCGTGTTCTATATTTTATTTAGTCCAAATATCTTTATTTATTAATTACTATAATTAGATATTGAATTAATAAATTTCTCACCAACATTGGATGACAACAGCACGGGACGTTCTGCTGGGGATACATGGGTTAAAAATTTAAGAATTGTGGTTGTGTTTGTCATGTCCTTGTCCAACCTCGATTCCCCAATAGGATTGGGACGAGATATTTTTATAAAGGGATAAAATTTCACATCGAACGAGGTTGACTTTTTAAAATGAAACTAACACTTAATAATGTATCAAGACACATTAAGTTCCAACGAAGAGGGCTTAATTTTTGTAAATTAACTAAAACAAGGTTGGAACTATTCTCATTGTTTTATAGTTTTTTAATGATTTTGCGACAGAAGTGTAATGTCACTATCTGTCACGAATTTTATTTTTAAATTGTTTTTGCACCTTTTCCTATTATCGGACATATTTTGTGATGGAGTTCAGAAACAGAATTATAATATTGAACAAACAAAAGCAGTTGAAATCTGTGTCACCTGATTACAACCATTAATTTGGTATATTTGTTCGACAATCGAGTCACGAAGTGTCACAAATTGTAACTTGTGCAAAATTTTCCATTTCCTACATTTTATGGCCTTTTGGTGGAAAAAATTCGGGATGGCGCCATACAGAAGCAGATTGAAGTAAATGTAGAAAATAATAAATTTTTTTGCACTCTCCCAAGTGCCAATTTAAACACGTAAATTTGTTGATTGGAAAAGAAATATAATTATTCTTAAAATTTTCAACATTCTTGCTTTTTCTTGCTATCTATTTTTTAAAATTAATTTTTCCTCAAATTCATTTAAACCGGACATTCCCCAATAAAATAATTTTGCATGTAAATCTTAAACTTTTTCTACTTTTTACTCATTTATTCTCCAAAAAAAAGTACTTTTAGTCCTTCCTCTCTCTGTGAAGGTTCCTCTTCCCTCCGCCACCGGTGAGGGCTTCTTCTCCTTCCTTTGGTTTCCTTAGTGAAGGCTTGCTCCTTCCTTGGTGAAGGTTTCTCCTCTTCTCCTTTACCCCTCTCTCCACTTTCCCTACCAGCTTTCCCGTGAGTCTTTCGGGTGTGGCTTTGGTTTCTTTTACCTAATTTTACCTTGCCTCTCTTAACCCTAGTTTTGATCGGCCCTTCCTATGTTTCGCCGGGGGGTGGGAGCTGTTGGCTCCCCCTTCCCCTTTTTCAAATTTTGTTCGGTCTGTTGTCTTGGTATTGGGGTCGTGGTGGCAGGTGGTGGCCGGCGTTTGTAGGTTGGGGATTCTGCCGGTGTCTTGGCGTGATGCTTCAGCAGGTGGGAAAATTATTTAGTTTCGGTTCTTATTCGGTTCTTTAGTTCTTGGTCTAGATCCGAGACCCGACCCAAATCCACCGGTTCTCAATTCGGGTACCCGTTCGGGTATTTAATTTATGAAGAACCGCTCGGTTCGAGTTCGGTTCGGTTCGGGACTTTTGGACACCCCTACTCACATCGAACGAGGTTGACTTTTTAAAATGAAACTCTAACACTTAATAATGTATCAAGACACATTAAGTTCCAACGAACAGGGCTTAATTTTTGTAAATTAACTAAAACTAGGTTGGAACTATTCTCATTCTTTTATAGTTTTTTAATGATTTTGCGACAGAAGCGTAGTGTCACTATCTGTCACAAATTTTATTTTTAAATTGTTTTTGCACCTTTTCTTATTATCGGACATATTTTGTGATGGAATTCAGAAACAGAATTATAATATTGAACAAACAAAAGCAGTTAAAATCTGTGTCACCTGATTACGACCATTAATTTGGTATATATTGTTCGACAATCGAGTCACGAAGTGTCACAAATTGTAACTTGTGCAAAATTTTCCATTTCCTACATTTTATGGCTTTTTGGTGGAAAAAATTCGGGATGGCGCCATACTGAAGCAGATTGAAGTAAATGTAGAAAATAATAAATTTTTTTGCACTCTCCCAAGTCCCAATTTAAACACGTAAATTTGTTGATTGGAAAAGAAATATAATTATTCTTAAAATTTTCAACATTCTTGCTTTTTCTTGCTATCTATTTTTTAAAATTAATTTTTCCTCAAATTCATTTAAACCAGACATTCCCCAATAAAATAATTTTGCATGTAAATCTTAAAACTTTTTCTACTTTTTACTCATTTATTCTCCAAAAAAAAGTACTTTTTCCCATTCTTGGGAATATAAACATGAGCTTTCTTAATTCATAACTTGAATACTATTTGAAATCTTCCAATTCTATTAAACACGTTACGTGTTTTATTTTTCATAAATTTGTGGTTAAAAAAAAAAAAAAAATCTAAAGAACCCCAAAACCTTTTCTTTTTTATATAGTCCAACCCAATTACAAATATCTAGCTACGTCAACGAGCCGGCAAAAAAAAAAACTTGAGTTCGAGCCGAACAAAGCTCAGCCAAAAAAATGAGGCTCGGCCCGNTCTCAAATGGTATTAGTTCGGCTGGTTCAAACCACCCATAGCTACCATCCCCGAAAAATGCCACCAACACATGGCCCTCATGTTTGGTTCTCCGAACAGAAGGCGTAGCAAAGGCTTCATTGTGTATAAATCCAGGCCACCACGGGTGGGATTTTACTTTGCCCCACACCATGTCACCAACTTGGTACCCATTGCCGACGGCTTCTCCATTTCCATTCGCCACAAACTCGTCAAATCCCGAGAGAAGAGAATCATAATCTGCTTCCATACCAATAGGCATCTTATTCTTATCGTCCCAAGAATCAGTCGGAATAGAACAACTATCCTGATTTTCCGAAACTCTATACGCATCAACAGATTTATTTTCTTCATTTTTCACATTGGTTACTCGAGATTCATTCAAAACATCAGAAAACGTAGCTTGCTCTGATTTACCCGCACTTCCACCAGAAACCCTAGCTTCTTCCGAAGGCCTCCCTGGATTCAAGCCCGCATCTCCTCCGCCTAAAGCGCCACTGCTACTACTGGTGAAACCGACCTTGTGTTCATCTTCAACAGCATCTTCGTCTTTTCCGTCAGACAAACCATTTTTGTTGGTGCTCATCGTGGATATCATCTCATTCGAATTCAAGTCGAAACCCTAAATTTTGAAGAGCGATAAAGAAAAATAATTTCGATTCAGAGGAGATATAAGAGTGAAATTGAAGAAAATTTTAGGAATTTCGAAACGGGAGAGAAAGGGAGGGGACAGATAGAGCGACTTAGGCTCGTACGCGCAGTTAGTGTATATGCTTCTGGAGATTATTTTTGGATAATGTTTGTTGAACATAATTTATGTACATAAGGATACATAATGTGACGTGACAATCATTCGATTGATGTGAAAGTATGAGATTTAAATTAAAGGTTGAATACGTGCCACATGTAATTATGTAAACCATTATATAAACGATTATGTACACCTAACAAAGTCCATTATTTTTAACTCATGTTTGTTCTACATTTTCTTCCAATTAGTAGAAATTGATTATTTAAAGAATGTGTTCTTGAAACTTAGAGCATGTTTGACTAAATTTAAAATCCAATTAAAATTGAAAATATAACCGTTATTGGGTCTCACTCGTCTAATAAAAGTTAACAATAATTTTTTAATTTTAATCTCTACCGAACACGTCCTTAAAGAGGGAAAATTTATTTTTTAAGTGTAGAGCAAACTCATTTCTAACCACGCATTCTGCAATAAAATAATATTTTTCATCACATCAATAACTTTTCCTTACTTTTTAACCACATATTTCTTATCATATTACTATTTAAAATATATTCTTTTCTCAATAATATTCATCAAACACACCATAATTTTCTCAATTTTAATTTTCAACTACACAAATACTTCTTAAACGATTTTTATGAACTTCATACATGCTTTCGATGATTCCAACAAAATAATGATCTCGAGATCATAATCACATAATGTAAATGTATCTTAGCTTAAATATTATTTGTGTCTTTATCGAATAAAGTTATTTTTAACTTTTGTACTATTGAAGTTTTAAAAAAAATTGAAATTAAAGTCAAATGAATAAGTTTTTTTTTAAAAAATAAAAAAATGAATAAACTAAAGTAAAATAAAAGGCTTTAAAAAAATGGGGGAAAAAAAATTAATAAAGCGCGTCTAGAGAAGATTAAAGAGAGAAATTGAGGAACAAAAAAATTTAGCCGTTTAGAAATTGAAAAGATAAAATAAAACAAAAAAAGCTCCTAGACGCGAAGCGAGACTTTTTGCTTGAGATTCGAGTTTAGGCAACCCGTAGACGAACTTTTTAAAACAATGCTATTAGCCCCTTAACCTGACTTCTTAATTTCCACAAAGACAAATATCCTATTAGTTGGTGGTGCAAACTGCAAAGTGTACTATATAAGTTTGAAATTTGAGTTACTTGAGAAATGGACCATCATGTCTTGCAAGAATGCACTTACTTGATACCCACTTTTTTTCCTTAGACAACTGTTTCTGTTCTGCCATTTCTTGTTTTTTATTTACTGCGTTCTAGAGGGAGAAACTGGGTAGTTGGAATCGGTTAGACTCAGTTGAGAATTTAAGCAATTGTTTCAAGAAATGGAAAAAAAGAAAGAAAAATCTCTTATTGGCTTTTGAGTCGTGAAATACAAGGTTGAAGAAACTTTGTCGGCAAGACTGACTCTAATGATTTTCAATTAGTATAGTGCATAGTTTTAAACAAGCATTTAACTGTTAAACAAGCTTGATTGAGCTTAACCATTTTAGTTAGATGGTAATTATTGAAAAAAATTGGCTCAAAAGTCACTTTAAACACGATAAAAAATTTAGAAAACATGTTCGAGAAGCGAATAGCTTTTTGGGTTGTATTTTCTTGAGGAACATGTTTGTCTATGCTTAAATTTACAAGCTTATGTTTGGCTCAACATTTAGATCAAGATATTGGCTTATTAACACAAAGCGTCCCTAAATTTGACTTTTAATGTGCAAAATGTCCCTAAGTTTCAATTTTTTACATTTTCATCAATATTTTCCACGTTTTATTACGAAAAACATCATTTTCCTCAATTTTCATATATTTTCTCTATATTTGTGAAAAACATCATCATATTTGTGAAAATGACAAATACACCCTTTTATCTAAATAAAACAAAAAGGAAAGAAAATAAAAAATAGAGAACTAATTGCAGCCATAGACTCAATTTTTTTTCCAAAAAAATTACAAATGAGTCCGAACAAATAATTAAAATTAAAAAAAAAAAATAACTCCAAAGGTATTCCGACTTGTGTATCCAAAGGAGCTCTAGATTTCTGTACAGTTTATGTGATCTCAAAATAAAAAATCACTTATGTTCGGAATGCTTCTCGACAAGCACCATTTGCTTCATCTCTTTATAAACAAATACAACAAATGCAAGAGCAGGCGAATGGTAATGTTTTTTTTCCCTGATGCGCGTCCTAGGCGTATTCCTAGCAAGAGAGGTCTATTGTTTCCTTTTGCCTAATCGACATCGTTTCCAATTTTTGGTTGGGGTGCGGTGGGGTGATGAATTTATTTTTGTTTTGATTTTTAATTATTTGTTTGGGATTCAATTGTAATTTTTTTGAAAATTTTGGATATATGGTTGCAATTAATTCTTTATTTTTTCCTTTTTGTTTTATTTAAATAAGAGGGTGTATTTGTTATTTCAAATATTTTTATAGACAAAATTGATGAAAATTAAGAAAAATGACGTTTTTCGCAATGAAACGGGGAAATAGGGATGAAAATGCAAAAAATTGAAACGTATGAACGTTTTGCATACTAAAGACCAAATGTATGGCATGTTGTGCTAATAAGCATACTTATTAAATAAAAACGTACATTTTAAAATAAATATTATTTTTATTGATGAAAGTTAGAAAATAATAAGTTACTTATTTTGTAGATAGCATAATAATCTTTCAAAAATGAAAATTTGGTGCAATTAGTCTCTAAAGTTTGCCATCAGTGCAAATTTTCCCTAACCTTTATTTCTTTGCATAAACATTCCTCATCTCTATGTTTTAGTGCGAAATTGGTTCTTTTATATTATCTTTCTAATTTGAACATATAATCAATATTAATTAAAATGCTACAAATCCAACTGTATTTCCTCATATTATAATGAACTTTTCATTTATTAACTACAAATATTAGAGCTCCATGCATTCATCGCAATTCAATTTATACTTTCATTATCAATAGATAAAGAAATAAAGAATGCATAATTCACAGAATAATTTTTATCATTATTTTATGTTTAATGAAAATAAATTACCAATTTTTGAATGTCATCAAATTGTATAAGTTATTTTGTTATTTATTTATTTATTTTTATTCAAGTTTTCATGTCATAAAGCAATTATATACAATTGAAGTACGACAATTGAATTTTTTATTTTTGATCCTCCTCAATTTATTTGACATGACTATACACCAAATTAAATACTTAGGATCCATTGTACTTCTTCCAAATGTTAGGGACCTAGTTACAATTTTCTAGTTAAAATTAAGGTCATAGGACTTTTTCATCAAAAAAGGACCAATTGTGCGCCAAGGCACATAGGTTAGGAATACCCTGTCAAGATACAAACGTTAAGGACTATTCGCACGTTGAATGTAAATGTTAGGGACCATCTATGCCAAATTCCCTTCAAAAACTGCAGTTTTTTTTTTTTTTCTAAACTAAGAATACAATAAATTATTCAAACATATTCAGATAAAACATTTTCTTCTTCATGCTCGCAAATGATTATAAATTAATCTTTTTTGATATACAATTAATGCTTATAAGTTATTTTCTTTCTAAACCCTAATTAGTTTTGAACATTTTCCCCTCATTTTTGTTGGGCAACATTATCGGACAGGTGCACGATAGGCTATTTTTCGAAGAAGACCCTATCCGAATTTATTTCCATTTAAAAAATTTTATATATTGCTATTTTAGACGAGTAAAGAGTCATTAATGTATTGTCAACATCTGTGGCAGTAAAGAAAGAGGAATACTTAATGCTATTCAATTCTAAATACTGATTTGTGGAGCCTCGTGACATCGATGTGAGCAACAAATAAGTTCGAATGAGAGCATTTTTCTCCAAGCTTAAAAAATAAAGAAATAACTTGAAATAAATCTTGTTTTAAAACATATTAGGGTAAGTTACACGAATGGCGTTTATGACAATTACAGAAGGATCAGTTATGGGTTCCAAAATCTAGTTTAGAGATGTTTACATACAAAAATAAGGCCCAATTAAATGAGACTCAATGATTAAATGAGGCCCAATTATGTGGTCCAAGAAATGAAGCCTAGGTATGGAAATTGAGGAATATGCCCCAATAAGACCATTGTAAAATATAATGACAGTCCACGAGTAGAAGACTATCATCGCCCAAATAATGACAGCTATGAGCAGACGACTATCATCGCCCAAGTCTGCAGAACGCTCAGGATCTGAGCGAATGAAGTACCCCAATGTTGCTCAAAACGATGGTCTCACTCTCGCCCAAGCCTTCGGACGCCTAATGTTTGGATGAATATAGTGTTTTGTTCAGTTATTGAAGTGGTTATTGAGCAACCTATCACACCCCACGATCCAATAATCTCGGTTACAAGCGTTTAAATAACAAGAGTATTAACAGCAGTTGCAAATGGCAGTTCCTTGACAAGTCAGCTATCACGAAGAACGTGGGCAGTTATAGAGCGCTAAACAGTTTTCAAGCAGTTTTACAAGAGGAAATTGCATCGGAGTATAAAAAGGAAAAAAAGATATAGAAAAAAATGATTTCGAATCAAACACTCTCAACAGAGAATATGTAATTTCAATTTATTTTTTTTATTTGTCTAAAGAGGTTTGTTCCTTACACAATCGTCTGAACATTTCTTTTAATTTTTAGCGATAAACCGTGCGAAACAATTTGGCACACCTGGTGGGACATTGGTGTTTGAGGATACGAAAAGTGAAGCAATAATGCCTTATAAGAATTTTGGTAATGAACCAGCAAGCCAAGGAGTAGTCTAGTATGTGATCGAGCGATATGAGGAGCAGTAAAGCTCTCCACGAACAGAGGGACAGTA